ACTGGAAATGATTTTAGGTTCTTCTTCTTCTTCATTGCACTGAAAAGTTTTAACACTTTTGTAAACCATAGCTTTGAACCCAGAACGAGCACTCAGGATAAGGATAAATAAAATCTGTAATCAAAGAGGTAATGCTTTATACAATATATTGATTCTTGTTACGTATAGCCGGCGTAATCGGTCATTCAGAATACGCATGGAGAAAGTGTTTTCATTTGGGTAAGCGAGTGTTGGAACTTGACCTTGTCATAGCGGAGTAAAAGTCATCAGGTCGAATATATTTCATTTTCTTCTTCTAAAAAAAAAACTGTTGGATATCAGAGTGAAAAAAAAGGAGAAAGAATAATGTTTGTAGGTTAGAATTCATTAAACCTTCCTCTCTCTCTGTCTCCTCAAGATTTACCAGAATCGAAATATATTGTTTTATTATTTTAGAAGTTGGGTTTTGTTCGTAGTATAAATACAGTGTCAAATCGAACCCTGGCGTAAATAAAGAGTTGTCTGTACCCAGTATTTTTTGTTTCTTATGTTTTTGTTCTTTTTTTTTTTTTTTTACAATTATCTAGTTTGAAACTGTACCTACGTCACGGATAAATGGGTACTTTACGAATTGAAAATAAAAAAGGAAGCATAATGGCTCGTTAAGGAAAGGGAGCTAACCGCGTTCTAAAAGGTAGACTGAGAACGAAAAATATAGGAAAGGATAAATTTCGTGTAAAATCCAAGGAGATATCGACAGATCAAAATCGAAAGTTGACCGAAAACGAAAATAAAACAAACAAAAAAAAAAAAAAAACGCGGGAAAATAAACAAAAATATACGGATTAGTCGTATGGGACTTTGAGAGCAAAAATAAGGCGGTATTGGGTTGGTGCATAATTATCAGGCGTTTTTAAACAATATCTATTATGAAAAAAGAAACATAACAATTCAACAATAACATTTTTAAATGATTATTCCGGAGCGTATGACTATCGACACGGATTTTTATAACCTGAAAATAAAATAATATTTTAACAAGTAAACAAAACAACAATTTTTATTAACCAATAACTCACTTAGAAAAGCGCCTGATAATTATGCACCAACGCAATAGTAGAAAAGAATTAATTATAAAAAGAATGGTAGAGAATTGGAATAGAATCCTTTCCGATTTTGATTTCCAATTCTCCCGATCATTTTGAAAGAGTCTTTAACAATGATTAAACTCATCATGTTTTCATTTTGATTTGGTTTCTGCGGATTAAGGGGAGGATCAGTTTACAAGGAATTTACAAAGTAAACTGAACCCCCATTTAAATCTTGATACATTTTAATAATTTTTTATTATTCGTTATCTCGAGAGCTTAATGTACAGTAATCAGTCAGTTATGTGCCATACATGATACACGCGTAGGTGATCATGTATCTTTCGATACATGACTGACGAGGCAGATTTTTTACCGCAGTAGGTTGCCATTTCTTTCTGCAGTAAACCAGTTGCCATCCAAGGCTATAGAACCCGATCTGTCCTGCTATTTGCTCATAGCTGGGAGGGGGAGAAGAGGATTCATACCTTTCCCAAGGGTATTAGCACGTAAGTGAATAAAATGGATTCAATTGAGATTCGAACTCGCCTCTCTGATTCCTCAATCCGAGCCACTATCCATTACTCTACTGTGCCTCCAAGAATGTATAGTAATATGACAAAAAAATGAAGAAAACGATTATTTCTGGTCGCAGTGTCATTTGAACAACTCCACTCCGATCATTGCCATAACACTTTAGAAATTATTGTTTATTCCCATTGCTAGTTAAAATTAATTCTTTCCTCATTATTCATCACATTTAATTAACATTAGAAGTAGGTATATACTACTACTACTAATAATAATAATAATAATGAAAAGAATAATAATAATAATAATAATAATAATAATAATAATAATAATAATAATAATAGATTTTACCTCACTAAACAGGTACCACATTGGCCACCAATTGTTTCTTTTTAGGAACTCTGAAAATTGACAAGACTGCTCTGATTCGGACAAAATGCTGAAAAGAAACATTAGCAACTAAGGGCATTTAGTGTTCATGCCTTTTATGAGAACTCTAAGGATTAAAGTGAGTGCGGAGCTATACAATCGAATATTTTAACTCAAAGAACAGAAAGAATAATATAAAATGAATGAGGGGAATAGATAAGGATTATTCGCGAATTAGCAAATTCTTAATGAATAGCAAAAGAAGAAAATATCAAAAGATTTATGGTAAAATTTCTTTTGAAATTGCTGACCACGACAGATTTATATTCAGTATAATAAGGAACAGGATTGTGAAGCCGATTGCAGCATACATAAACTAAAAACTACGTTGATTCGACTATCAAAAGATTTTCATTGTAGCCTTTTAGACAATTATTCTCACCAGAATCCATCTTGGACGTTTATAAATATACCATTCGTCCGTGAATTGAATATTAGTGCACCTGCTATCTATCTTGATATTCTCGATAAGATCCAAAAAATAGTCTGTAATGTTATCCATCCTAATCTGGCATCACTTTCTCACTGCAGTAACATGGCTTCTTTGTATCTTTTCTATAAATATTTTCATGGTACTTGTCCTAATGACATTTCAAATCCTATGCCTTGACCGCATGAATTTAATAGTTCTACTAGATTGGCAAGTAGGTCGCGTCGTTTTACTTTGAAATAGCTAGATGTAACCGTAAGTTCTATTCTAATAGATTTTTTTTTGCGAACGTTACACCAGAGACTAAAAAAAAAAATAATGGCTACAACCAGAATGCGAAACAGAGATGAAAAATCTGTCTATATCCCTGAGATGAGGTATTATGATTACTTACATTTTTTACATTATTCAGACTGTTATCTTCATTATTATTATCATATTCACAATGTTTCGGCCGTTGTACGCTCTGGCCTTCTTCAGATGATTGGAATTTCGAACCGAACCCTTACAGTGCATAAAGGCGTTGGTTAGATCCAGTGACTAGACCCAAAGTGTTGTGAGTTCAATACCAGGCTGCAGAAGTGGTGAACCAAAACTTGGAATGTTGAGTTAATGGGAAAAAGAGGCATGGCACGTGGAACTAGAACAATCTACCCCAGTGGACAATATAAAGGGTTTGGTTAGAAATTCCAATCACCTGAAGAAGGCCTGAGAGTACAATGGCCGAAACGTTGCAAATATAGCAATGAAGATAAGGATAACAGTTCGAATAATTCAAATAATGTAAGAGTTGAAAAAATTGAACAAGGCATTTTAATAGATGTTAATATACAAA